GAAAGTAGCTCTGCTGTATAGTAGGATATTGAATGTACTTCGTCATTCAATGGGCCACTGCAGAGTGCAGTTGATGAGTTAAATTTAAATTTAATGATAAATCATCGTACAAGATAGCAACGATTTTGAGCGGAGACGGTCTGTCAGTCAATATTTCTAAGAGTAATTCATTATAATATATTAATAATGATTATATTCGTATTTATTATTTAAAAACAAATTGCATATATTATATAGTGACTTTGAATTAAATATTCAAGGTAGTGGAGTTTAATATCCATTAAATAAGGTATAGCTGTTTGAATAGTTGGAATTTGAACCTTTAAGACCTGTGAGCTCAACTAATAGTTATACCTCAATCTTATAAACCCAGTTGACCCCAAAACATTCATTTAATTTTAATATGATCAAAACGTAATAAACAACAAAACATTTATGTACTTCTAACAAAATAATAACGTATAAACAGCTATACATTGTGGTACATTTTAAAATCGATAACACAATATTGTAAGCAATATTATATATTATTCATTTAATATTTAAATTATGTATATTTTTGTTTTAGTGATTATATTGATACAACAAAACCAATAGCAATGCGACCTAAATCATCACTAGTGTTATCATATTGATAAAACGTCCTACCCAGAGTATGTAAACTTAAACAAAATAATATTAATGACATTATTAAGCTACGAATGTTGTTAGCACGGTTTAAAGATTAAAAATTATTTATTGGATTTTTCAATTATYACTAAACATATTTTTGTAACATTGTGTTAAACAGAAGTCAAAGCTTGTTTTCAGTTTAGTTATTTATTTTAAAWTTTTTTTTTATTAAAACAAAATATACCCTCAGCGAAATAGGTCATTGGGTTACAAAACTTTAGTTACATTGGGTTGAATTTACATTGTATTTTAAAATTATTAGATTACCAATATTCAATATCCACGTCCCACGTATCATTTAATATTGATTTCTTGATATTGATAAAATATTAAAATCTTTGACAATTTAAAGAACTTGATGTATTATTTTTTTTAAAAATCATACGATASAGTTAAAAAAAATCAAATTTTTACAATTTTGTGGTATTTAGAAGCCTGCAGGAGATATACACTGCAACAATATACTGGCAAATTATTGCAAGAGGGTATTTTTTTTAACAGTATAGTTCCATACTTATATTCAACAATAGTAAATAACGCATATGTTTGTATCTTGTTTATTAATTATAAATCATTTTTTATAGATTTCGRTACCTGCATTGTCTTTGTTAATGATTGGACAAGTCAAAAAATTCCACTGGATTGTGATTYGTGCATAGGACACAAAGGACTAAATAAATATAATGTTTTAATAAATAATGCACTGTTTATTTTAAGGTTTTTCCATTAATTATCAATTAAACAGTTAAAAACAGGTTTTTTCATTATAACTATATAGGAATGTATAGACATAATAAGAAAGTTTTAATGTTACAAAACACATAATTCCATAATAAATAATTTATTTACAAGTAATATTGTTTTCGCTTTTATTTACAAATAATTTTTTTAGAATATTGAGAATATAAATTAGAGTTGCGTTAAAAAATACTCCAATGCATAACTGTGACTTGACATTAAACAATTAATACTTTTAAGTGGAATTAAAAACAAAAAAATGTTGTCTGCATGCAACCACCAAAGAAGAAACCCAATAGAATGAAGCAACAAAACTCACTGAAACATAAATTAAACACAAACGAAGAAAAAATATTAGGACAGGTAACAAAAAAAAGAAACACAAATGCAATAAGTAATTAAAATATTTATATAAATAAAACATTCTTCAATAACATCATAGGCGTAATTTGGGGGATGCTTCGAAGTGCTTTGCACCCTTAGATGTATAACAGGCAATAATACATTCTTAAATTGTTTAACGCATCGCCTTATCAGTATTGTTTATTTTAATTCTCCTAAAAAGATAAAATCGTTTTCATTATTTTGAATTTTGCTTGTTTTATTTTTTTTGCTTACTGTCAGTAGTTATACTTCAGTAGTCATCTATTATTATTATTATTAAGAAGACACCACACCCACATGTGTTGCCTCCGCCTTAAAAAGTACAACATARMAAATTTCACGTTAACAATAATCCATTTTATTCTACTAATATTTAGAATAAGATTGAACTGGGCCATGATAAAAATTAAATGAAAAATTATAAACCAAGCCATCTTAGAGAATTTTTTTATATTATTATTTTTTAGTTAGTTTTAAAATGTAAAGTTTAAAAAATTCATAATTTTCTTCTTTATAACAATATCAATAAAAGCCATTAGATGCCCTAGATAATAATCTTACCTTTAAATTTTAGAACAGGTCAAATCACTCAAATTTTAGAATTTATAGAGTGAAATGTATTATTGTGAATCKAAAATTTGAAATTTTGTATATTTGTAAGACGGAGACTGCTAGACTGCACACCTGATATGGTATCCTCTTAATTTCAGTTTATTGCCAATGTTTAAGTTTTGTTCATATTATATCTTTTTTTTTCTAATGTTTGCTATCAGTACTATTTTTAAAGTCATTATTGTGAACTATAAAGGCTATAAGGTAAGGAAATTTATGTGAMAGATGCTATTAAGTACTCATAAATCTATCTGGMAAATTTGAAAATAAACAAATCCAAATCGCACYGTAATAATTATAAGGTGTTTTGTGTATCGTCGTTATTAGTGTTTCGAGGGWTATATATTTGTTGGTTAAAAAATATCATAAATTTAAGTTTCTTAAAAGTTTTAATTTTAACACGGTACCTAATAATTTAAAATCATGAAACAAATATAGCTGAGTTATTTTCTTCATAACATACATATATTTATATGTATATAATATAAAATTAAAGGATTCAAATAAGCTGTTATAATTAATCAGAAATTAAATTATAAAATGATTTAATGCTGTCATAAGTAGCTAATATAAAATAAATAGTTAAAACTTATATTATTATCCTATTGCCGTATACTATTACGAGAGTTTCAATAATCTTAAGTAGGTACTCATAAATGATAAAATGTATTATATTTTTGTTAAATATTAAATCTTTTGATGACAATGGGTTTATGTTATGTTGTATAGATAATAATGTATATTATAGAATAATAATCAATCGAAATCACCCATAGTAATCAATTAGTTATTAATTTTTATAATATTAAATGTGTTTATATTAGTGCAAATATATTATTTTTTTT